TGCATGCATCAACTTGAAGGGGTATCTCTAGCCAAACCGTTCCCTGCCAGAAAGCTTTGTCTAGAGGTAAACCTCACAGACTGCAATGACGAAAAGTCTACTGGGACATATTGGGGTGCAGCAATGAGAACGCTGACTGCTGATCACAAACTGCTGCTGATGGTTCCTTTCCGATGGGATATAAAGAACCTGCCAGGCGACTGCAGGGGGTGCCGCGAGCCATAAATGTCTGACCGCGCCTGGTAAGATGGCTGTTGGTGGATGGCAGAGGCCAGGACCATTGCCACATGGCACCAAGTACTTCTGATCAGCAGAGTCCCCAGCGAGTAGGTGTCTGCCGGTGTAATGTGGTGCAGAAAGCTCACCGAGGAAATTCATTGTTACTTTCTACACAACTAATCCACCTAGAAGTCAGTTTTATACAAGTGGCTTCTGATGGCTACGGAACCTGCTGGGAACTACCGGCCCTGAGGGGATAAGGTACCCGGACCACCTCTGTGTGTTGCAGCTCCTCATAATGGGCACAGGGGGGGTACAGACCCGGGAACTCAGCACAGGGGTGGTGGGAGCCCCTCATAATGGGCACAGCGGGTGTACAGACCCGAGAACTCAGCACAGGGATGGTGGGGGCCCCTCATGATGGGCACAGCGGGTGTACAGACCCGGGAACTCAGCACAGGGATGGTGGGAGCTCCTCATAATGGGCACAGCGGGTGTACAGACCCGGGAACTCAGCACAGGGATGGTGGGGGCCCCTCATAATGGGCACAGCGGGTGTACAGACCCGGGAACTCAGCACAGGGATGGTGGGAGCTCCTCATAATGGGCACAGCAGGTGTAGAGACCCGGGAACTCAGCACAGGGATGGTGGGGGCCCCTCATAATGGGCACAGCAGGTGTGCAGACCCGGGAACTCAGCACAGGGATGGTGGGGGCCCCTCATAATGGGCACAGCGGGTGTACAGACCCGGGAACCCAGCACAGGGATGGTGGGGGCCCCTCAAAATGGGCACAGCAGGTGTACAGACCCGGGAACTCAGCACAGGGATGGTGGGAGACCCTCATAATGGGCACAGCGGGAGCGCAGGGACCTCACCAATAGAGTCTTTGAGAGATATGAAATCAATGCATTGGTTTAAAGGAAGCCAGTACTAAATTAAATGTGGGGTTGCCACTGGTGAAGTCCTTCTGAAAAAGCCAATGACTAAATCAGAATCCTAGAAAGTACTGAGCTATTGGTTCAGTATGACAGCCAGGAATTAAGCATTTTCAAGAGACGTGGAGGTAGATTTCAAAAATGAGAATTTGCGGTCTTATAGGGAACATTTACAAATATTCATTGCCCTGAAATTGTACCTTTTGCTTTAAATTCCCCCTACACAATAGCAATGCATTTCCAATGCCTAGACCCTCGTCGCCTGCAGTGTGAAATCATCTAAAACGCTGCCGCCTCTGACGACTGGTCTCACCCGATCTGGAGATGTCACTGCTGTGCTGCTCACTTGTTCTCCCTGCTGGAGAGGAAGATGTACCCGGGGACCTGCAGTGCAAGGATCTCCCTGCTTCTTCTGCTCTCATTCTGGGGATCGCTTCCTCCACCTCTCCCGCTATCTCTTGAACATTACCCCACCAGTCATCGGACGGAGTGGGGGGATGTCTACCCTGACATGAGGAAGCAGAACCCTGCCTCTATCAAGCCGGCTCGCTTCAAAGAAACAGAGTGCAGAACAAGGCCTGGCAAGGCGTTAATAGGCAAGATCAGCTATGGGGGGTGTTCCAGATGCATTGCATGCTGTGGAATTACACCGCACACAGGGGACCAGACAGAAGTGCATTGGATGCTTATGTCTTGGGGCGGGTTTAGACCAGTTTCCAGTCCAGATCTGGTCCAGAATAGTGTGAACCTGCCCGCAGTTCAAGTGCCTTCCAGACAAAATGAGACCGGCAGTATTTTTCTGGTCTGGAACAGACTGCGCTGGTGTGAACAGAGGCCAGAAATACCATAGGGATAGAATTGGGATGCATTTTGGGTCTGGAAACAATCTGGTCTGGAGATGATCTGGATGTGGTGTGAACGGGCCGTGAGACAGCAAAGATGAGCGGTGCAATCAGAGAGACGTTAAAGGAGAACTATGGGGTTAAGTCTTTTCCCCATAGTTCTCCTTAGGGTAACGGGAGGACACAAACTAGCGTCCTCCCGTCACCCTAGGCTCAGTATATAGGGAGCTGTAGCTCGGGCTATACTGAGACGCCGCAGCTGAAGCGGATCCCGACAATTGTGCCGGGATCCGCCCAGCTGCGTGACTGACAGCTGGCTCTGCCTATCTAGAGGCAGAGCCAGCTGTACCCGCCCCCTCCCCCGTCCGTTCCACCAGCGCTGGCGGAGCGGGGAATCCCTCCCCTGTCACGGCAGAGAGCTGCGACAGGATCGAGAGGTGAGCGAACGCCGGTATGTGTTCGCTCACTTCCCGATCTACTGAGCCGACCTGTGACAGTCTCATTGTCACAGGTCGGCTAGAACTATGAGGAGGAGTGAAAAGCACCCCCCTCATAGTTCTCCTTTAAGTATTAATTATTTTCTTTGCAAACACGGATTTTGTGTTTAAATAGTATCAGAATCACTATAAATAATGTACATCACTGATACGTATTGCAATCAATAAGCTGGAGCACCGGCTCCTTCACAAAGCAACTTCAGCTTCATGAATTGATACACGGAGGAAACACGAGTCTGCAAATGAAATTTAATAAGTACGCAGTACAAACGAACATCCATAAGATGGCGCTACATGATAAAAACAAACCTCGGGTCATCCTATAAAACTGATGCTGCAGAGGTGCAAGACGTTCCGCTGGCCACCAATCAGGATCCATCCATCTATTTCTAATGCAAATTAAAGATGAAACAAAAGTTGGCTTCCCCGTGTCCTGACTTATAAATGTGCACCATCTACGCCGCCGCCTGTCTACGGATAATACTGAGGAGAGCAGACTTACACAGGAAATGTAATCAGACCCAGACAACGCATTTCACATAAACGGATTATAAGCAAGTCATAGTTATGTTTCTTCGTTTTGGGGCAGACGTAGGAAACAGGTCACTGCAGTCTCACTACAAGTCCCCTCCACCCTACGAGGCATGTATGATGACCTGCACAGCGACTATAGCCAGTCCCTCCACCCTACAAGGTATGTATGATGACCTGCACAGCGACTATAACCAGCCCCTCCAACCTACAAGGCATGTATGATGATAGCCAGCCCCTCCACCCTACGAGGTATGTATGATGACCTGCACTGCCACTAGCCAGCCCCTCCAACCTACAAGGCATGTATGATGACCTGCACAGCGACTATAGCCAGCCCCTCCAACCTACAAGGCATGTATGATGACCTGCACAGCCACTATAGCCAGCCACTCCACCCTACAAGGTATGTATGATGACCTGCACAGCCACTATAGCCAGCCACTCCACCCTACAAGGTATGTATGATGACCTGCACAGCCACTATAGCCAGCCACTCCACCCTACAAGGTATGTATGATGACAGCCACTATAGCCAGCCCCCACAATGTATAGCAATAAATGCCGTGTTTTCATTATAGACAGCCCCTCCCAACCTATGAACATGAATGAAGTGTTAATGACCTTTGTTTTCACTATAGACAGCCCCCTCTCCCACATATGGACATGTTAGAAGGCCAATTAATTAACCTGCATTTGTGGGAGGAGTCAGGTCCAGCACTATATCTGTCCCCCCTCTGGTCGCTAAACTTACCTGCAGTCGTTGAGTTCCTGCATACCCTACCTCCAATCCCCTTTTTATCATTATTCACATACCGTCCATGGCACACTCCGGGTCAGTGTCTTATTATGCGCTAAGTTTCGGTTTCTCAGGTATTAGACTCCCAGCACAAATATGACCCGTGCCATACAGCTGCACTTTGACATAAACAGCGCCCTCCGACCATCACGCCGTGTCTACTTCACCGACAAAGGAGAATGCACTAGATGGGCAAACGTTTGTGCACACCTGACCATCACACCTATACAAACTTCTTGGACATCCCATTCCAAAACCATGGCCATGAATGAGGAGTTGGCCTCCATTGTGGATATTCCAGCCTCTTCTGGGACGGCTTTCTACAAGATTTTAAAGGGTGGCTGGGGGAATTTCTACCTATTCACCCAAAAAGGGAACCTGTGGAGGTCAGGTACTGATGCTGGGTGAGAAGACCTGGCTCATCATGAGTGTTACAATTCATCCCAAAGGTGATCAGTATGGTTGAGGACAGGGCTCTGTACAGGAACCTCAGGTTCCTCCACACCAGACTCATCACACCATGTCTTTATAGAGACGGCCTTGTACACAGGGGACAGTCACGGTGGGACAGAAAAGGGTCTTCACCCAACTGTGACCACACGGCTAGAAGAGCACAATTGTCTACAATGTCTTCGTATGATGGAGTATTAGCCGAACCTTCACTGGGAACATCTGAACTCCATCACTTGGAGGGGGTCCACCTACTTTTGGCCATATAGCGTAGGTGTGATGCTCAGGTGTCAACAAACTTTTGGCCATATAGTATAAATCTTAACGAAACGATCTTTTGAGGAAGCTGTCCGTGTGGACTTCAGGTTCTCCATCTTGTTTCCGGTCCCTTGAAGATGCTGATCCATAAACGGAGGGCAGAGGAAACCTTCTGTATGTACCACAGACATATAAGGGGGTCCTTGAAACAGTAACAAACCAAGCGCTCATTTTTGAAGCGAAGAAGCGAGCAAGTTTGAACGCATCCGGACGTGCTCGGTTTTACTCGGGAATGTCTATGACCAAGTCATCCTCCTCGTCTCCATCCAAGGGGCCCTCATCTCCGCTGCCCTCGCCGCCGTCGCTAAACATCTGCTGAGGGACGGTGCTGAGGATGGTGCCAGGCGGCGCGTGCTTGCTCGAAGACGAGAGGGACGGGAGGCCTGAAGAGCGGGGGCTGAAGGGTAAGACTCCGCCACAGCTAGAGGGGGGACTCAGCGGAATCTGGTGATGTTATCGACAGGAGAGGAATCAGAGCGGAGGGCGAGATAAAAGAGAGAGGACAAGAGAAACAAAATTCTGCGTTAAAGGGCAGCGTTCCCGCTATAGGCGTAGGGGTAAGCGCACACACGCACACACATAGAACTCTCACGCGGTCACTCGCACACAGGTACCTTGGGCTTCTTGGGGTTACTGCTGCGGTTCTTTCTGTCTCTCTTGGGTCGGTCGGTTTTGGGGGGCGTGGAGTTGGGAATGGGAGCCAGATATTCCGAGGGGAACGGGGTGTAGGGGGGTGAGCTCATCTGATGGAGGGGAAAGGTGGAGGAGGGGAGAGAACACAAGTCATGAGATGGGATGATGAAAGTAAGAGAAAAGAACGGAGGGAGAAAAAAATAAAAATCAAGGGGAGCAGGAGAAGAACAATGGACCACCCTGAAGACTAACAGCAAAAACCTTTCTTCACTTTAAAGCGGAACTCCGGAAAACAGCTAAATAGACATAAGGATAACGTATATGGGAGCCGCTTCACCTGACATAGGATATGTAATTCTGTCCGGCCAGTCCTCAGATTTGCACAGTTCTGTCTGGCAGGACAGGAGACCTGATTTTTCTTTGCTGCAGTTGAGCAATACCTACAGGTCCCGTTCCTCCCTTCTGACCTACTTCTAAGCTACATCAAGCTGCTTTACATTTCACATGAAGGTGAAACTAAACTGACAAAATAAAAATCTGCTACAAAGTTGAGCGTTTTTGACATACAAAGTAGGGATGTCCCGATACCGATGCTAGTACCGGTATCGGGGCCGATACAGGGCATTTTCAGGAGTACTTGTACTCCTGAAAATGCCCCGATGCCTAGATCAGATACCGGCCGTTTACATTTTTTCAACTATCTTCGGCCATTGACCCCATAGCCCCTCCCCCGGAATACCTCTCCACCAAACGAGGCTCCCTCTCCGCTCTGACCTCTCCGGAAGTGTGACAACATGGCGGGGGTAAGTGTTGTGTGGACAGTCTCTTCTCCCTGCTGGTGCTGGCTGCAGAGCTCGGTGTCCCTTTCAAAGACCGCTGTAGCCGACACAAGAGGGGAGAAGAGACTGCAGCTGTGATCCCCGTGTATCTTAGCTGCTGCTGCTCCTCCGTGTCCCGTCCTTTTCAACTTTATGAATCGGTTTCCTTTTGGTGATATATCTCAGTGTGAGATGCCCGTGCTCCTTGCTGCACAGCAGTTTTCACTCTCATTGTAAGAAGAGAATGTCCGTTCAGTGTGCTGGGGATGGGGGAGAGAAGCTGTAAATCTTTCCTTCACACAGAACGGCATTCTCTTCTTTCATTGAGAGGGAAAACTTCTGTGTGGGTCTGGTGAGAGCATTATTATTAACACATAAGGAGCATGGACATCTTACACTGAGATATACCACCAAAAGCAAACAGTTTCAAGTGGAAAAGGAACTGACACTTGTAACAATAGACAGGCTGTTATTGGATATTTTAAATTGCAATAGCCAATACCAGGCTGGCTATTGTACCCCCGCCCCCCCAATTGCCTGCTGTCAATCAGCAGAGAGGACCTGATTGAGAACTTTCTCTTCAGTTCCCTCCTTTGCTGATTGACAGCAGGCAGTGGGCGGGTACAATAGCCAGCCTGCTATTGGCTATTGCAATTTAAAATATCCAATAGCAGGCTGGTTTGACCCCATAGCCCCTCCCCCGGAATACCTCTCCACCAAACGAGGCTCCCTCTCCGCTCTGACCTCTCCGGAAGTGTGACAACATGGCGGGGGTAAGTGTTGTGTGGACAGTCTCTTCTCCCTGCTGGTGCTGGCTGCAGAGCTCGGTGTCCCTTTCAAAGACCGCTGTAGCCGACACAAGAGGGGAGAAGAGACTGCAGCTGTGATCCCCGTGTATCTTAGCTGCTGCTGCTCCTCCGTGTCCCGTCCTTTTCAACTTTATGAATCGGTTTCCTTTTGGTGATATATCTCAGTGTGAGATGCCCGTGCTCCTTGCTGCACAGCAGTTTTCACTCTCATTGTAAGAAGAGAATGTCCGTTCAGTGTGCTGGGGATGGGGGAGAGAAGCTGTAAATCTTTCCTTCACACAGAACGGCATTCTCTTCTTTCATTGAGAGGGAAAACTTCTGTGTGGGTCTGGTGAGAGCATTATTATTAACACATAAGGAGCATGGACATCTTACACTGAGATATACCACCAAAAGCAAACAGTTTCAAGTGGAAAAGGAACTGACACTTGTAACAATAGACAGGCTGTTATTGGATATTTTAAATTGCAATAGCCAATACCAGGCTGGCTATTGTACCCCCGCCCCCCCAATTGCCTGCTGTCAATCAGCAGAGAGGACCTGATTGAGAACTTTCTCTTCAGTTCCCTCCTTTGCTGATTGACAGCAGGCAGTGGGCGGGTACAATAGCCAGCCTGCTATTGGCTATTGCAATTTAAAATATCCAATAGCAGGCTGGCTATTGCTCCCAGCCACTGCCTGCTGTATTTACATTCAGTGCATCCAGTGAAGTAGAAAGGTGACACTAGAGGTCTAAAAGACCCCTAATGTCACCTTAAAGAGAACCTGTCACCTCCAATGCACGCAGCACTGGTGAGAAACTGCCCTAAAATCATTAGTCTGTATTGTTTTAGAAAAAATGTCACATGTCCCTTTAAGAAAAAGTATCGGTAATTGGTATCGGCAAGTACATGAGGGACAGTACTTGTACTTGGTCTTGAAAAAGTGGTATCGGGACATCCCTAATACAAAGTCTCTTTTACCCAAAAAATTGTTTCTTCTTGCTTCTAGCAGTTTTTTATTTAGTGTACAATACCCACGGTGCATGCACAGAGCAGTGTACACCCCGGCTCATGCCCAGCATCTGTGAGAGGTAGATGCAGCCGGGTGCTGGGGATGAGAAGTCCTATGAGCAATGGCCGCCTCAATACTGTTGTCAGGACAGATCCACTTTAAGCTGGCCCACCCTATAAAGGCTAACCTCATCATTGCAGACTTATTATAAACTGTGCAAGCCCCTGAGGTGTCATTACAATTCCGGCATCACTATATAGTTAGCTCTGACAACCCCCTCTGCCTACTTCTGAGACTCCTGAGTGTGCAAACCTTTCAGACTTCACATTATGATTTGTGCTCAGCAAGTCACTAGATAACTGAGACGATATAAAAATAAAACCGTAGGGGTGGATTCATAAATCTTCCACCCAGCGAGTGCCGTTCACAGCTTTCTTGCCACTAGATGGAGCCAAGGAGTAAAGGAAATTCCTGTGCTCCCTGACACCATCTAGTGGTAGGAAAGAGGCGTGAACACCATTCGCGCAGCGTAGGCTGGGTGGAAGATTTATAAATAGACCCTTCAGCACCCAGAGCTTACAGTAGCAATGACAGCTACCATATCCATATTTCCTTAAGAGAACTACGAGGTAAGTGTTTTTCCCCATTGTTCTCTTAGGGGTTCACGGGAGGACATATACTAGCCTCCTCCAGTGACCCAAAGTTCAGTATATCACAAGCTGCAGCTCGCGCTATACCGAGACCGCCGCGGCCCGGACAGATCCCGACAATGCTGTCGAGAGCCACCCAGCTGCATGAATGACAGCTGGCTCTGCCTATCTAGAGGCAGAGCCAGCTGTACCCCTCCCCCGTCCGTTCCTCCTGTCAGTGCTGGAGGATCGGAGCGGTGAGGGGGGGGGGGGAATCCCTGCAGGGAGTCGTTAGTGACAGTCACGGCTCTCTGCAGGGACATGATCGAGATGTGAGAGCAGTATGTGTTCGCTCACTTTTCGATCGATTGAGCGGACGTGTGACAGTTTTATTGTCACAGATCGGCTCGAACTATGAGGAGGAGTGATTTTCACTCACCTCATAGTTCTACTTTAACTTTAAAATGATCCTGTGATTTGCTCATGCAGGGTGAAGCTCAAGGCTCAGACCTCCCCAGCAGCATATACTTCCGCTCCTTTCATCGACATACACGCCCTCCACCACCAGGAGCAAAGCCCTGTGTAAGCTCTGAGTCGCTGGAATAACAGCTTATGCACTCCACACGACAGCACTGATTGGCCCAGAGCTGTCACGTGACCAAGTCGCAACCACACCCATCCTTTGGCCCCCGGAGTGGAATGTAGAGTGGGCAAGGGGCTATATGAAAAGGTAGGTAAATGCCGCTGGGGATTAAAGCAAACCTGTGCTTTGTCCTGAGTGGGGAAAAACACAGGTTCACTTTAAACCTCGGATCAGAACCCTCATTGGACAAAGTTCACACGTGTTCTGCAATCTATGCTCAGCCTGAACATCTGTCAGCAGGAGGAGGCCAGAAGGCAAGGAAAATGGGAGGATTAGAGGCTAGTTATGATAGGAAGGTTTAATACTTACCGCACTCAGGTAGGACCCTCCAGCCGTGTGTAAGGATAAGGCCGATGAGGAGGAGGGTGGCGGGGAGGCTGGGCCAGCCGATGGGCTCCGCTTCCTGTAGAGGATACAACAAGAGATTACAGAGAACACCCTCTCACATTAATGGCTGCAAACAGAAGGTCAGCTGACCGTACCTTTTAGCCGTGGGCGTGCTGGTGTCCCGGCCTCCCTCTGTGTCACTGTTATCTGATGAAGCCGTCATATCAGAGTCTGAGAGAAAAGAGGGGAAGTGTCACTTTAATTACACACAGTTCTTCCTAACAGCCCACCCGGGTCCCCCCGCCATCATACCTGAGGAGTCATCATCGACATTCTCATACTGCAGAATCCTGTCCAATAAGAAGCTGAAAAGACAAAAGCACAGCAGTCAGTAGGGGACTTTAATAACAGGAGATGGTGCGGTCATCACTGGGTCTCCGTTTCTCTATACAATGCAGGCAGATCATGGCTGGTGGGAGGGGCCAGCAGGGGGCTGTACATCGCTTCCACAGAGCCCTCAGACATGATGCAAGCAGTGGGCTGGAGGAGTTATGGAAATATCAATGAATGAAACGAAGGGGCCAGGCACAGGAAGGCTGGGGAGGAAGGAGATAGATGATGCTCGACATCCTCTAGCCAGGAAAGGAGGCGGGCTCTATCTGACCTGCTGCAGCTTCTAATGCACATTGCAGTGATTGGTGGGCGGGACAGACCGGTAGTCTGAGCAGCCTGGGCCATCCCACTGTTGTGACAGGCGAGGTAATCAAGTTATGCTCATAGAAGAAAACTGCAGAGGGACATTTACACAACTGGTGGCTGTGGGGGGAGAAAAGGGCATAGCACCCTCTGGTCTTATGAATTATAAAGAGGAAAACAGGAAGGGTGCACCCAGGAAAGCAGAGGGGAACTATTCAATGACCGCTGCAATACTTAGCATGGAATGGAGTACAGAATAATGCAAAGGAAAGAAATCTCATTTACATAAACTGATTTTATATTTCTGTCCGGAGTTCTGTTTTAAAGTGGAACTCCAAGACTTTTAAAAAGTAACCCTTGCAGTGAGGCTAGCCCAGCACTGCAAGGGTTAAGTGCTCATTTTGTCTAGGGGGGGGCACAAATAAAGAAGAAATACTTAACTGATCTTCTCTCCCAACTAGCTGCTAGACCAGTCCCTGCAGTCTAAGGACCCGTGACATCATGACGTCTTATACCGGTCTATTAGACGTGAAGATGCTGAGGGACATACCAGAGCCGGAGCAGGAGAGAGGCGAGCGTTCACTGCCACACTGGACTGAGCCCTCGTTCACACCTGAATGTTTTGTAGCGCGTTCTACGCTCGACGAACGCTCTACAAAACGCTCAAAAATATAAATCCCATTGTATTCAATGGTCTCGTTCCCACCTCGGCGTATTTCCGCCCGTCCCTAACGCGCTACAAAACCCATATCTGAAAAGGTCCAGGTACTACCTTGGGCCGTTTTTGTTGCGCGTTTCCATTGGGAAACAGCCAAGTAGCCCTCGGAAACGCGGGTTTGTCGCGCGATTTTTTTTACCGCGAATCGCGGTAAAAAAAACGTGCGACAGACGCGCATATGCAATACGCCTAGGTGTGAACCAGGGCTGAGGATCAGGTGATGCTGGAATAACTCCCAATTCCACCAACTTCCCGATTTACCTTTTGTCCCGGGAGACTTTCAGCAGCTTCCTCTGAGCTCTTCTCAGCTCTTCCTGGAAACATTCCTGTTCCTGTGGAGAGAGAAAAGAGAGAGAGATGCAAAGGGCGAGGGGAGCGAAGAGAGAAAGAAGGGGAGACGAAAAGAGAAAAGAAAGAGGAAAAGAAAGAGGAAAAGACAAAAGGGAGAGAGAGAGAGAGAGAGAGAGAGAGAGAGAGAGAGAGAGAGAGAGAGAGAGACAGAGAGAGAGACAGAGAGAGAGACAGAGAGAGAGACAGAGAGAGAGACAGAGA